GACTAAGAGAAACAAACGTATAACGAGCTTTTATAGTTTTAAATAACTTTATATTTAATTACATAAAATCAAATTAATACTAAAAATTAATTGTTGAAAATGCTTAAAAAAGACTAATTATATTAATTTTTACGCGCATATTTGACAAATGTTTACATATGATAGCACTATACTTTCCTTAATCCTACTTTCGAATATAGTCAGTTTTTGTGAGAGTTTTTTGCTCTTTTGATATAAATTTTTAGGTGAATCAATTCGTTGTTATCAATGCGACAGCAATGAAGATGATTCATGTCCGGCACGGCACTACTTTGATACACGGATGAATGCTCTTATTGATTGCGGAAGCTTTCAGGCAAAGGTTCCTGGTACATTCTGTGTAAAAATATATCAAGAAAGTTCTGGTTGGAATAGATGGATAAAGATTACCAGGCGGTGCGGAGCACGTACAGACTATGGTAGTTATACTAAGCTACATTATGCTTTACTCCAGGCTTACTTTTGTCTAAGGCCTTATATTTCTATGTCGTTAATACAATATGCTGAATGTTTTTAAAAACTATTTTGTTAACTTTTATGGTAATTATTTGGGCTTTTATTTCTGTTTTTATTGCCATTTTAAATCTACTGTTTTGATGTAGTTATAAACAATTAATATAGTTATTTATTCATTTTATTCTGCTATTTTACCTTTAAAAACCGCATTTAATTGCTCAAAATATTAAAGTCCTTAAAAGTTTTTGCCTAAAATGTGATACTTTGTTGTAAGTTCTATAATGTTTATTTTTTTGTTTGAATTTTAACGTTTCCAGACTATTGACCAATTAATACGACGTTCAGCTTGACAAAGTTCACAAGGCGTCCCCATTATTTCGGGTAAAAGCGGGTTGAGTTTTCGTCCATCAAATTATGAAACTCATTCTTGTAAAAGTTTTACATTATCTCTATGCTATAAGATAGACAAAATCTCAGCCCGTTTTTACCTCACTAAATGTATTTAATTTGTTTGATTTATTTAAATAAATGCAGAACATTTACGCAAGTCTCATTTAAACTATGAAAGTCGATTCATAAAATATCCTATGTCCTTTTATATAAGGAAAAAATTCATAGGATAAACATACGAATAGTAACTGGATTTCGATGAAGCTCAAAAGATAACATCGTTTGGGAAAAAACATGATGAAGAGCTTTTTAGGTTTATTTTCCTGAAAAAATGATAGATAATTCATAATCTAATATATATGTTATGTATTTACTCTGTTTCGCTCGAAGTACTGAGGGATAGGCAGTTGAATTTTCCAGCATTGATATAAGTAGGCCTCATGTTTCCTTTGAATTTCACCTGGCTTTGCTTCCCAAAAGGTATTTCTATCAATGTCTCTAGTAGGACTCGAAACCTTGTTAAGATTATACCCCTCATTCGCAGAGTTTGAGTCCCACTTGGACTGCTGATGAGATCTAGATGGGCTATAAACTGCAGAATATTCTTGCTGATAATAACATTTCGGAAGCAAGGCCATACGAACTTTAATGGATATGTGAAGCTTACTTATATTAATGTATAAAATTCAAATTTCAGTCCTTCTTAATCTTAAACGAAATAAGGTGAACATATCTCACATGTAATATGGCATTCCGGTTAAAACGATCCATGAGACATCTTTCCTCGTTTAGGATGAAGTAGGATACCTCGTTGACTGCGCCTACCGAAGCATCGTATTTAAGCCACACAACAATAAGGTAAGATCAACCTACAAAATTCCTTATAACCCATCTTCATATGGAATAAAAATCCCTCTAACAACGAATCTAAACAGCCTGATAGTTTGACGTTTGGATGGTGTACAAAAAAATTGGGTTTTGATAAAGATTGCTTTCAATCAAGCAGTTAACCTTTTTCAATTTATGCTAAACATAATTAATCACATTCCGTTATCAATTTTCTATAAGGTAAACTGATATTTTAATTGACCTTTAAAGCTTCATTTGACCCCATAATTGTGTTCGTTTTAGGTAGTTTTCAAAACTATTAGTAAATCTTGAATTGTGCCAATGGTGACCATTAAGCACTATACTTAGTAATAAATGAGAAATGGTTGGCTAAAAAACTTTTTCAGCCTTATTTCATGAGAATTCTGGGCCAAATCATTCAAAATTATTTGGTTTATGAAGTTTTTTCAATTTGGTAACGGAGATACTGGTAGTAGCTCTATGATGTAAAGCAGTGTGATCTTACTTTTATAAATAAAATATAACTGATGAGAAAACTATCCTTTTTATTTATACAAACGAAAACCTCATACATATAAATAATGCATAGTACCTGTGCCATATATGCTTTAGTTTTCTTCACCATGTTGGAATATAATAATATTCGTAAAAATTCAAATACTTGTTGAAATTTCTTTTAAAATATGACTACTGTCTCTCTGATAATTTCTTCGAAGTAAAAATAGATAAAAGGCTTCATCAATATGATAAGGAAGCTTCATTCGCCTTAGAGACTACGTTTTAAGTTTATCTGTAGAATTTGACTAAGAAGTTTTTCATTGTTGAGTTGTATAAGAATATATGGGGTTAATATTCTATTTTTCCCCCAACGAAATATATATACACCTCATGATGTAACTCACTTTGCATTGCTTTACTCCACAAAAGGATATCGCATTTTGGCTGAACTGTGGTTCGATTTTTTCTAGTTCTCATCAGGGCTCCCAACTGGATTGAGAATCTGTCATGTGCGTCAAATAACAGCAAGTAACAGATCC